CCACCCTCAATCTTAAAGAAAGAACTTTGGCTATTAGTTTATAAATGCATCCCAACAAACTAATAGGTCTAAAGTCCTTCACATCTATAGGTCCACCCTTCTTCAGAATGAGGGCTATAAACGATGCATTCAGCGATTGCCCCTAAGTATGAAAAGCATGAAAAGTATCCATCACCTCGCCCCTGACCACGGCCCAACTCTCCAAAAGAAACCTCATGGTGAAACCATCCAGACCTAGAGCTTTATCCCCATTACAATTTCTCAGTGCCTTCAGCACTTCCTCCTCAGAAAACGGAATCTCCAGACCCTCCCTGTTTGCCTCAGAGATCCTATTAAAATTAAGTCCATCCAGCCAGGGTCTCATAGAAATAGGCTCCGTAAACAGTTTCTGATAGAATAAGGCAATCCCCCTACAAACATCGTCCTCCCTACTTAAGACCACCCCATCCACAGTAAGTCTCCCTATGTGATTGCCCAACCTATGAGCATTAGCCAACCTATGGAAGAACTTAGTGTTCCTGTCCCCCTCTTTAAGCCATAATGCTCTGGATTTCTGTCTCCAAGAAATCTCCTCCGACACAGTAATCTCAGCCTGGCATGCCACTCTCTTACTTCTCTGCTCATCATCAATGCCACCCATGCCTTCCCGGCGATCAATCTCTACAATCTCCGCCAATGCCCTACTCTTCCTCCACTTGAGAGTCCCAAAAATCTCCTTATTCCACCTTTTCATCTCCTTCTTCAACACCCCAAGCTTTCTAGCAAGAATAAAGCTCGGATTCCCAGACACCATACTACCTTCCCACCAAGACCTCACACACCCTTGGAAATTCTCCGCCCTAAGCCACATGTTTTCGAAACGAAAAGGAGTGATTCTAGACCTTAACCCACCACAATCCAACACCAAGGGAATATGATCCGATGTCGGTCTAGCCAAGGCTGCTTGAGTTGCATCCGAAAACTTCTCCTCCCAATCTCCTAAAATGAGAAATCTATCCAGACATGAAAGGGTAGGAGACTCTTTGCCATTAACCCATGTAAAAGAAGCACCCTCCAAAGGCAAATCGTAAAGATGATGACCACCAATGAATTCTGAAAACTATACCATAGCCTGAGTCCATCTCCCTCCTGTCGATCTCTCCAAAGGGGATCTAACCACATTAAAATACTCCCACCCCCCCCCCCCCCCCCCCCCCCCCCCCCCACCCACAACCCCAAAACACCATAGAAGACACCACTGTGCCTTAAGAGATCCCAACACCTCCCAGAGAAGACCTAATGGAACCCATCCTCTTCCATAGTAAAACTGCATGAAATGGAGAATCTCCCTCGCCACACATCCGCTTTTGACACCCATCTTTTATCCCACATCACCAAAATACCCCCAGATGTCCCAACAACATCCAACGCCTCCCATTCATTAAACCTCCCACCCCACAAACTCCTAACCACCCTATCCAAAATGGACGCCATCTTCATCTCCTGTAAACATACCACATGAACACCCCACTTCCTTAATGCCAATCTGACCACCTTTCTTTTGTCTGAATCATTAAGCCCTCATACATTCCACAACATAATGCGGCACTTCATTAAAAACCAATAAATGACCCCTCCCCTCTCCTTCTCCCTCTTCCCCTCTCACTGCTCCTCTCCCAACCTGTCCCATTCTTCCCCTCATAATTAATATCATAAATCAAGCCTCGGATCTCCCTTCCCCCTCTCCACGGGGATAACCTCATCTTCTTTTTAACTGTTCTGTTCAAACTTCAAACATCCTCCACACTCTTTCCCTCCATAATTGAATGCATCACCAAACAAGCCTACTCCTCATCTGGCTAAAAAGAAAGTCCCAACATACCACTCACAGAATCAATGTTATCCTTCACCCACTCCACCCCTTTGTCATCACAACCTAATGCAGAGAAATCCCTCCCCCCGTCCGGCCGTAATAGACATGATGGTTGCATCTCCAGACTAGTAGAATCCTCCCATGGAACCATCTCCATAGCATTCCTATTATTGTCCCCTCCCCCCCAATCTGTCACGACCTTCATCAGCCGAAACCTCAATCCCGTTGAAAGCCGAAGGTGAACCAAAATCCCCTTTAAAGTCATCCCCTTTTGAGCCAAAATCTTTCAAACGGTTCAATCCCTTCAACCCTTTATATATCCTCAATTCCTTCACCAGTGCTGACGTAGCCTCCTGACTTAACTGATACTTTGAGTCTCATCCCACACAAACCGTAACTCCATCCACACCAACCGACGCTGCCATCACTGATGCATTCTCCCTTAACATCTTGGAAGAAGAACTTATTAGAATATCAAGTGTGTGACTACTCAAGTGTCCCACCTCATCCTCTGTCTTTGCATCCAACCCAATCCCCTCTAAATCCACTTCCACCACAGGCGACAACACCCCAGTTCTCTCCGACTTTCGGTCAACCTCCTCCCCCATTTCCCTCCTCAACACCCTACAAAGAGGAGTAGAAGAAGAAGGAGCAAAAAGAAGGCTTCGAGAGTTAGGGAAAAAAGACATACCAGGTTGGCTTTCCTTTGGGCAAACCCATTTCTGTTTCTCCTTTCGTGACCAACGCCTACCATCTCTGGCTGTGAGGTCAGCATCATCAGAAGAAGTGGATTGCAAAGACCGAAATCGATTGTCCGACACCATCTGCACACAGCAACTCCCATGCCGAAACCTTTTCCTCTTGCGACGGCTATAAGAACTGGCTCTAACCCAATTCTCTTTCTCCAATCGTAACCAATGTTTATTATCTTCACCAAGGGCCGATGCAAAATTCCACACCTGGGCTTGCCCCAACCCATTCACTCTGGATCTCATCTCCTTTTCCTTCGAACACAAGCCCAAGACTCTAATGCATAGGCTCTTATTAGGGCCAAATACATAACCCTATCTCTCTTCTGCTGGACCAAGTTATTAGGCCCATACCCATCATTGGACTTGCGCCTAGTCTGCACATTCTGAGCATAAGAACCAACTTACCTATTACGCAGCCCATTAAGCGGCCCAGGTTCCACCGGCCCAACCCCATCCAAAACCTCATCCGTAATCTTCGAAACCCTATCCCCTTCACGTGGGCGCCTCCATTCCACCACTTCCCCACTCGCCTTCCGCACGTATAGGTCACCTCGTCCCTGACCTTGCTGCCATCCATCTTTCTCCAACCTAACTAAACTCGCCGAACAGACTGAACCAGCCTCGGAACTGCGAGACACACGTCCTTTCTTCTCAAAATTCAAGGATACCATGGGTCTTGCCACCACAGAAGGAGCGATCTCCTCCATCACTGAGATCTTGAAAGCCCAAGCCTTGTCTTCAACGATCACGAACTCCAGGATGACCCCGTCGTCGTCCACCGTGATGACTATCCTTTCTGTCTCGCTCTCAGAGACCTCGACCTCCCTAAATCCACCACATAAATCCCCTATAGATTCAAAAAGCTTTTAGCACCAAAGATGGAGCGGAAGGCCAAACAGCGCTATCCTTCTTTGCCTCATCATTTTCCTCATCCCCAAACACCCAACTCTGTAACACCACAAATCAATTAAGAGATGTGCATCACCCCAAGATTTTTTCCCCCATCTTAGCACCCTCTGAGCTTCCTTCTCCGATGGAAATCGAAACAGCAATAACCCATCTGGTAGATTAAAAACCCTAACCCCACACGAAATTTGCCAAATCTTTGAAGCCCATTCCTCAATTCCTTCCAAACTGCGCACATCTCTATCTAATCTCCCAACAAGGCAAGATTGAAGGGTCGTTTCACGGAGGATCGTGCTCTGCTCATCCACCCAAAGAAAAAACCCTTTGTCGTGGACGTTCGCACCACATCTCCCTTCAACTCCAATATTGGCAGGCTCCCTACATCCAAAAACGTCTTCTTCATGACATAATATATGTATATATAAATATATCCTCGATAAGTGTGTCCTAAATCAAAATCGCCTAAAATTACCATTTACAGGAAGCCATTAATTGACACTGGATAAATTTTAAGTATATGCATTGCTTGCCCAAATTCTCAAAAGGCCATCCTACTCACCTCACTATTATCCCACATTGCTTATAGGATAAACCCAAAAAAGGAACTAGGAACTATTTGAACTTAAGGTTATCCCACATTGCTCAAGATTATTATGTAATTGTATATAGATTCTTCTATTTTGTTCCTTTTATTATATTAATTACTTCTAAACGAGTTATGTACCTATGTTGAATACAATTTACATATAAATAAAAAAATTATGTTACCCATGTCCTTAGCTCTGTTATATGGACTCTTCAAAAGTAGTGAAGTAGCCGTGTCGGACACATATCTCTCGAACATGGGTATGGGATATGTGTCCGACACTTTTGGTTGGACATGTACTTAAAAAGCATATTCAATCATTCAATTACATTATATTATTACTTTAAAATGAGTTAAATACCTATATTGAACATTATATTAGATAAAAACATTACTTTACTCTAAAAAATAAAATAAAATAATAAATAAAATGAATATTTAGCCGTGTCCGTGTGTACTTCTATTTGGAAATTTGACACGTCCGACACATGGATACATACCCGTGTCCAACATCCGTACCTGAGTCCATGTAACATAGGTCCTTAGACTTGGGGATTTGATGAACTCAATTCCCAGACATTTACCCATACCCAACATAAGTACCCAAATCTATGTAACATAGTATTACACAAGCATTAAGTGGCATAAATTATTCTTTGTGAGATACATGAGTACAAGGTTTTGACCTAGTAGATGTGAGCAAGAGGCTAGTCTCTAAACCAAATTATATGCATCCAAAGCAAAAAGATTTAAACAAAATTTGATGAGCTTTGCCCCCCACCCCCAAAAAGAATAAGTGAACTGCCATTTAAATTTCAAGTATTAGTTGATAGTTCAGTTACGCACTAGTTTACTCAAACTACAAGATATATTCACAAGAATTCATAAAGTTACAACAACGAACCTCACCAGTAACCTTCTTAGCTTGCAAAGTCGCAACTACATCTAAGCACTTCTCAATGTCGGGGATCTTTGCCTGTCAAACCACAAGAAACAAGAACCGAGAGTCACAATTCTAACAAATGTGAACAAACAGTATAAATTAAAATAAAAATTGTTTTGATAAGTTTGGATTGTATGTCAACAAAGGTATTGCCAGTTGCAGGGTCATAATAGTTCCCACTTACATTATAATGTTTGTCACTAAGAGTATACCATATTTATATACAAACTTGGTTAAGGGTCAATTAATTCAACTGCCTAAATATAATAGTTTCAAAGGCATATAATGTAACATATGAGTAGTTGTTATAGAGTGGGAAATCAGAGTTAAGATTGAAACAAAACTAGACACACATTTTAGGGCACAACTTTATAATAGGATTATCACACTTAAAGTTCCCTAACATTTTGCTGGAGCCCTGACACGTCAGATGTAGAGGTTCTAACAAGGTCATAATTTGAAAGAACCAATTCAAGTCAATTTTTTCTGCAACTTGAACTAAATAGACAAAAAGAAAAGATGTATTTCACAAATTGCAACTAAAGGACATAAAATAGGCTCAAGCCTGTCGCTAAAATTCAAACATGTTTCCATGCAACCCAGCACTCATGTGATTGGCCTATCAATTTGTTCAACACAAGCATTTCTCCTCCAGAGAGAGAGAGATAGAGAGAGAGAAAAAATATCCAAAAACCCTTCTACACTTGTATACTGAAGCACTTTGTTGGACAACTGTTGAAGTGACGCACGAACCCACAGTCCAACACCAGTTGTGTGTTGGCCCATTTTGATTCTCAGATGTGCTAAAAGAACTGCATGTAGTGCATTTTTATCAAGGGGACTTGGTACAAAGTAACGTAATATCGTATACTTTTCTGTTGGCAGATAATTTATGATGATAAGATTCCAGAACACAAGTGTTGTATTGCTCATATTTGGGCAATACTACATGCATCACCATGACCGAGAGTCAAAATTCCAAAGAGTTGGGGCTGACATCCTTTATCCTCTCTAGGTGCAAGATCAGCATTTACATCCACAGATAAACAAGACAGAAGAACAAGCTAATCTATTGTACTTTTGGTTTTTATGTTGCATGGACTCCATTCATCTTCGGCCCCAAATCAAGACCCAGTTTCTTAGGAGTTCAAAAAATGGATTTAGTTAAATCTTAGTTTCTTGCCAAGGTAATAATAATTAGCAAAACTAAACTTAAAAGCAACGCTATGTACACTGTATTGGGTACAGAGAAGGGATGTAATTAAGAAAAACACCTGAAGATCCCTCTGCTGCGCCAGAAGTTTCATCTCAACCAACCTGTATTGTTGAATTCTGCAGAAGAGCAGAGGAACAAGTATATCATAAAACTAGCAGAAAGATAAAATCAACAAACTCTGGGAAAAATCCTTCGGATGCACCAAACAAAATACATCTGTGCATGATGTGTTCACATAAAGCCTTCATGTTAATGCTCTTCTTTTAGTCAAGCTATTTGGGGTTGCCTAAGCAAATTCTGCTTAAGGTGTACAGCCTTATTTAGGGCCATACTTCCTTGTTGTAATAACGGCATAAGAAAACACATGTTTTGTCTTTTCCATCAAAAGATTCCATCACACTATTACGTTAAAATGTTCAAAGAGTCGGTCATATTATTTCAAAGAGAGAGCAAGTATAATAAAACCTAGAATCAATATTATTGTGATGTAGTATAGATGAATTTAGCTAGTGGGTATCGAAGGCAATGCAAAAAAGACATGCGACCACATAAAGGTGCCTGCCTCGAGTACTAGGTGGATAATAAAACAACTTATCCAAAAAAAAAAGCTGCACGATTAAACATGGTTAGAAAATACTCTTATTCTAGTGACATTATCACATCCATAAAAAATTACACAACATTAAAACATTAACCAGAATGAACGAATCCATGCTTATCAATAACCAAACTTGCTTCCAAAAAAAGGATGTGGACACAATATTAGTGTTAGCCGAGATACGATAGGCTAGAATCATGGATGTAAGTTACAATATTAGCCGAGATATGATAGGCTAGAATCATGGGATTTGACTTTATTTACGCATACGTCTAGGCATAGAATATGCAATGATTTTATTCAGTTTTTTTTTTCTTGTAATATTAACATGCGCTCTTTTTACTATATAAATACTAGAGTTGTGAATGAGTTGTTTAAGCCTCATTCAAGCCTTTACATTTTTTTCTTATATTCCTTCCATCTTGTATTTCTTCTTGGTATCAGAGTCAGGGTGGTCTGACAGCAACGAGGGCATTGCAAGTTCGGCACCATCCATTCAGGAATAGTTTGAGAAGATATAGTTGATGGCTTGTGTTCTGAGGAGATAGTAGTGATTCTTCCATCTACATATTTTAAACACGTGTACGAAGAGGAAGGATCTGAGGAGACATTGTTGATTCTTTCATTTATATATTTTAAACATGTGTATGAAGGGGAATGGTCTGAGGAGACATTGTTGATTCTTCCATCTACATATTTCAAACATATGTATGAAGGGAAATGGTCCGGGGAGAGGGTAAGTAATGGTTGTTTATAGTCTGAGGAGACATGGTTGGTTGCTTATGATCTGAGGAGACTACTATTAATGATTTATGGTCTGAGGAGAGACCAACTGAATCAGATAAGACAAATTCACGGTGGTTTGGAGAAAACGCCATGGATATGTCTTGGCTAGTCAATTTAATGCAACCAAACTAGTTGTTGGCTATATAATTATAAAGACCGTGTTTGAGGACGCATTGTCTATGCTGGGCATCCTAAATATCCACGCACCAACTTGAGGGGGAGTGTTAGTTGAGATATGATAGGCTAGAGTCATGGATGCAACTTACCAAGATAGGATAGAATCGTGGGATTTTACTTTATTTACACATATGTCTAGGCATAGAATATGCAATGATTTTATTCAGTTTCCTTTCTTGTAATATTAACATATGCTCTTTTTAGTATATATATACTAGAGTTGTGAACGAATGTTTAAGCCCCATTCAAGCCTTTACATATTTTTCTTATATTCCTTCTATCTTGTATTTCTTATATTAGCATAACCAGTACAAGGATCCAAATGCATGTTTTTTGGGGTTGGGGTTGGGGTTGGGGTTGGGGTGGGGGTGGGGGAGGGTAAGTTAGGAGTCAAACTGAGTTGATTGATACAAGATATCAAAGGAGCATTCTTGAAATTAAAGGAATCTACAGTGTAATACTAGATTTTTAATGTATAGATTTTTATATACAAGCATACAGGAGATCAAAGATGGTGCTGTTAAAGTGGGAAAGATTGACAATACATTATTCAATTGTTATTTCATGATAAATTATGGTCTGACACTGAAAGCTGGTAATAGTATAAAAGTAAGATAATGAATCTAATTAAGAAGAAATTTTGTTAAAACAATGTAGAATTTTGACAAGACTAATGTCAAATATTGACAAGTAAGGTATATTAAAGTTAATAAGTTGTGATATAGCAATTAGGAAATGAAAGAACAATAAACAACAAGGTAAAGCTAAGTCATTAGCGTCAACCACCAAATAGCAGGATGTACTGATGCATGCCACTGAAGTGAAGGTGTGACCTCATCACCTCTAATAGTAAGTTAGTAATGATAGCATATAATATCACTAAGAATTTTTTGTTATGTAATTCAACTCAACAAAGCCATGTCATAAATGACCGGAGTTAGCTCATGATTCCTATTTGTATTGTGCTTTAAGATGTAAAGGGCTTCTGAAAGATCCCAGTCAATGGTCATATTGATTAATGTGTGACTACCTAATGTTGTACTGAATTTTCATATTAGCAAACAATCATAACCACCACATTCTCAAAGTCACAGCAAAGGATGCATGCTATATTTTTGTGAGTTGTGCCGTGTGGAAGGGAGGGATAGGTTAATTTAGTGTAACTGTAACCAGAAGTTCCTAAAGACCTAGTGGGGAATGAATAGGACTTCTTGCTTAATTTAGTGTAATCTGATACCAATTGCGAGTTGCATCCTGCAGAAGTGGTTAGTTGATTTAGTGCATTATGACGTTCCCAAAGACCTAAAGGGAGTGAATAAGTCTTCTTGCTTAATTTTTCTGATTGATTAAATTAGCAAGCTAATTAATAATTAGATCCACACCAATCACAAAACCACAATATCATAGTTCAGAGTAAAGCAATCCACTGTATCGAAGCAAAATTGCACCACTTTGCCAAGACCTAAATGCTAACCATTTCAGGCTTTTAATCCTGGTAACCAACTTGGACATCGAGTCTAGTTGCTGCAGACTTCAGACTCACTCCTACGATCTCGCAAACGGGCTTCTGATGTAGAACATGATTGCTCTGCAAACAATCTGCTCCCTTCATAATGATCATTTATATTAGTGATCAATATCATATAAATGTAGATCAATATTAGTGAAGCTCTGTGCTCTCAACACAATCACAGTATTCATAGGTATCTATTTCAAATTCCTACTGGCGAAAGAAGAAAGCTAACAAATAAAAGCTAGGATTTTAATCTCTAGGTTTTTCCAACAGGATTCCTGCAATTATCTCTATCAAATATCCTAGAAGACATTTATTTATAGGCCAAAAGTGTAATATCATTTAAAGTTCCAAAAGGAATTGAAATCCTTATCAAAATCGACTTTCAGCGAAGCATAGAACCTGTTTTTAAAATTCCCCCAACTGCTTCAATGGTATTTTGGACTGATAACCACTTACTCCAAAAAGCCATTCAAACAGTTCCAGTTTTGGCATAACCAATTCTAGATCAGTCTGCCAAAATGATTTTTCAAATAGAATCATGCCCAATTGGTTCTACAAATAGACCAACCAATCCTACAAAAAGGCCATCTGGTTCTAATTGATTCGGGACAACAATTTCCAAAATCCAAGGTGCTCTTCCAACTGATTCGGGGAAAGTTCTAACTAGTTCTAGAGTGCAAGGTTTTTCAATTTCCATCTTAAAACCTTGATTAATATTCAAATAAGTGAAATTCTAAGGTCTCTAAGGTCCTTCTTGACTTTGCCTATAGTGATTGAATGTCATGGAACATTCTGGTATGGATATTCTGAAGTAGCTTCCTCTCCATATATCAGCTTTAACAACCAACTTTGACAAAGTGTCCGGCATATCCAACACAACATTTTGTTCACACCCTAGAACTCAAAGCATAACTTCAGAGCGGAATTTTCCAACAATAAAAATATTATTCTAACAAATAGTTAAAAAAAAAAAAAAATAGTTCAAGTGCTATATCATAAACATCTTATATACTACTCTTAGTCACACAAAACATATTAATTTAAAGACCCAGTTAAGTTGTATTAGATGGGATGAAAGACGAATATTCAAAAGGTAGACTGTTTAATTTTGGATTTAAAGATATGGATTTAACCCAAATAATTTTATATATTCAGAATGACAACTCCAAGTCTCCAATCATACGGAGATTTAAGATCTGGAACACTTCAATATGATATCATCCTTTACGCATTCATAAAATGCCACAAATAAAATCAATAATAAAATATAATCTAGAGATCTGTTTGGTTCTCAAAAACAATGAGAAACGAAAAGGAAAGGGGAAGAGAAATGGAATGGAATAGGAAAAGAACAGCAAGGAATTCATTTATGAAATTCTTTTACAACCTTTTCCCATAAGTTTAAATTGTCTCTATACAGGGTGCCATCAAAGTTATTAAAAAGAAAAAGAAAAAAAAGAACTCTCTTTTTCTCCTCACTGTTTTTTATTCCTGGATAAAGTGGAAAATTTTATAAATATAAACAAAGTGTACAAGAAACACATCAAGGGAAAACCATTGAAAAAGAAAAACAACATGAAACAAGATCACCTGATCGAACTAGACAAGCAACTGGTTTTCCACATTTCGTTTCTAGTTCCCCAATTCCAAATGAAGCCTAAGTTCAACCCAAAGTCAAAGATCATCGACAAACTTCTTGTTGGCTTACCACACACCGAAGATTAGCATTGAGACAATTACAGCATCAAATTAAGAGTGGAAGTAATATATATAAAGAGCACAAGTACATATAATTTGGTGATTGAATAATTTGTTGATTGAATGAGTGCCACTAAGAGCAAGTCATTGTTTATTTGTTTTGCAAACAAGAGCAGCAAACATAAGAATGTATTGAACTATCCAAGACAGTAAGTATGATCGTGTAATGAATTAACATGAACAATTCTGATGTAACAATGCACCCAAAAGTTGTGATTACATAAATATAAAGCAACAATCACTCCACAAAATTATGAAAGAATAGGAAAAATATATCAGGCATCTTCTAGTAAATCAGAGCAAATTTCAACAGTAAAACCTCTCACAAATCCCACATATATTTTGATCTGGGTTTTTCAAAGGATAATATCTATTGAACCCATCTCTCATATGTATGTTAATATAGATACATATATATATATATATATATATATACATACAGAGAGAGAGAGAGAGAGAGAGAGAAAGGGCAGACCTTTCTTGGAGGAAAGCGAGGGAAGAATTGACATCGAGACCTGATTGAGTGAGATAAGTCTGGACATCTTCCACAAAAGCGGCCGCCGGAATACCCCTTCTCTCTGTAACTCCAGATGAAGAAGCAGACGATGAAGATGCCATTTTTTTTTCCCCCTAGAGAGTGTGATTGTAGTTGTAGAGGAAAGGCGAAGGCGTAGAAATTAGTGACGTCGTCGTTTTTGATGTCATCAGTCTCAGACTCTCAAAGTGAAAAATATGTTACCCGGCGTCGTTTTGTAGTGGTTGTTTTTTATTAAGGATGTGTTTCCAATTCCAAGGTTTCGCTGAACACACCAAAAACTTATGTTTGGCAGGCTGAAATTAAAGTTTTGGAATTGGAATTGGAAATTTTTTTTTGTTTCATTTCCTGAATTGTTTTCTGCTAATTTCATCAATTTCAATTTCAAAACCCTAATTTTATGCCGCCAAATACAGTAAAAAAAAATAGCAGATACATAATAGACTCCATTTTACAGTCTTCTAAAAAATAAACTCTCCTAAAATGCACATGCACTTATGGCTTAAATGGGCTGGTTGTAGGTGGTCTATTGCCAAATGCTCCTTACAAACTAAAGGCATGGACATTATTAATTCTAAAATGAGCTCTTGGAATGGTTTTAACTTGTCCACGGCCAGTAGGCTTTACGAGAACTCGTCAGTATTGTTTTATACTCAATTCACTTACCATTGGTGATGTGTCTTCAAATTACAATTAGGAACAGTGTTAGAAATCTTTGAATTCACAATAACACACCCACGAGAGAAAATTTGAAATTATATTGATAAAATGGCTGCTAGCAAACTTACATCTCTGTGTCTTTATAAAGGCAAAGTCAAATATAAAAAATTAAAGCATCCGGTGAAATAATACTAAATGAAAAATCAATCAAATAATGGAGCAAAATCCACCTTTAATCTTGTAATAGAATAACTCTTCAATCAAGCTATATATTGTTGGCAACTACGCTAATCATGTTATTGCCTATTGTGAACTCCACTACTAATCTTTCTGTTCATTTTCAATTTTTTCTTTTTCTATTGTTGACTTTTCCTTCTTTTTTTTTTTTTTTTTTTTAGTCTCCTTATCTTTTCAACCTCCCTGATTTGTGGTGATCATATATGCTCAGATATTCGTGAACAAGCTGTTCTACATCACTCTCCCCTATGTGAAAAGAACTCATCCTGAGTTACCCGAATCTGGCGGATAATATTCATGTATGTCAACCACATTGAAGGTAGAAGAAATGGCCATGTCAACTGGTGTGTTGCAGACCAAAGCATGCAAAAAGATGTTAAAGTGTGTAGTGTGGCCAAGTTTAAATTTGTAGATTCCCACTACCACTACTAACTATTAAAAGTAGCTAGAGTGAGTAGGAATCGTTCCAAGAGAAAGGAGCTGTATTTGTGCTTGGAAATTAATGTCGGATTAGTAAGTCAAGTGATCAAAAGATGGTTGGTGGTTGATTAAGTAAACTAAAATGCAATTAAAAACTATACAAGTAAATATTAATCTAGAAAATAGGGAAAAAATATAGGAGAGAGGTCTTGGGGCTTAGAGTTCCCCACTAAACTTCACTTCACCAAACACTAGCAATTGTAAATTAATGGGGAAATTTAAGTTGTAAATGTGTGTGTGTGCCGCTAATTGAAAATAAAGCATGATGGATGGCAAATAAGCATAAATTGTCTAGCCAATTTAATGAATAGTACAACCTATCAAATGAGACCAATGATCATTCAATTAAACCATAATTAGTGCACACACAAATATCTAGAGAAATGTACTATTTGCATTCACAAGTATGGAATATCAAACAACAAGAATGAATTGTACACCTACTTAAGAAATTAAAATAATTACACTACAACTAAGCTAGAGACTTGAAAATTAAACTAATTAAACTAGAGATGTGGCACAATCCATCAAGAAATAAGTATGAACCATTAAATAAATCACAAGTGTACTCAATTAAGCACCATGCCTTGATCATCACTAGATTAATATCATCAACACACATATACATGTATCAATTTTATTAAATCTAAAGACAAAAATATGAACATCAATTCTAGCATACATAGACTTATGAATAGAACCAAATGATAAATCGAAAGTATTAATTCATACAAATCAAGTAGAAATTATAAGATCTATATTTATTCATGGTCAAAACATCTATTACAACTAAAATCCCCAAAAATACATAAAAGCTAGGTTTAGGAAGCAAGTCTATGGGCTATCTCTAGCCCCAAGAGAAGGATTTATCCACTCATTGTAGTGGTCATGGAACCCTTAAGGGCTAGCTTGGAGGTTGGCATCATCATCTTCATTCTTGCTTTGTTCCTAAAACCTTAGTTCTAGAGAGAGGAATATTTTTTTCTATAATTGGTAATATCTATGATGATATGATACAATATGGTTCAATAAATCAATTACATACTCCTTTAAGTAAGGACCAAGTCAGAAATACGTCCTATGATTGGAGGAAATTCGTAGCTATACAAGTTAGGTAGAAATCGGCGCACTCGAGAATTAAACAGCTCACTGCCAGCAGCATTTTCGATCGATCGAAGATTCTCGATTGATCCAACACTTAGCTTCCATCGATCGAAGCTGACATGGCATCAAAATATCTTCCAAGCCTTATCCAATTGGCTGAGCTGGCACCGCCTCATCTCGATTGATTATAGACCTCTTTGATCGATTGGGATTCCATTCAATCAATCGAAGCTCCTCTGGTGCACTTTTCTTCGCTTCTTTCCAACTTTGCTCCTTAACTCCAAAATTGAGCTAAATAGCTCTTGTTAGCCTGTTTGAACTTTATTGACTTGAAATAGGCAAAAACACAAATAAGCATCTAAGACATGAAAGTAAGATATATGAATGGACTAAAATACCCTAGTTTAGGTACTAAAATGCTTCACATTTGAGCACTTATCACACCCACAAACTTAGATATTGCTAGTCCCTAGCAATGAACTACAAGAAAAATAAAGAAATAAGCAACTAATTAAGTAACAATGAACTAGAAAGCAATAAAAAGATAACACCACTTTCATAGGGAACACGATTGCATTTAGCATATGCAACAAGCCTTTTGAACCCCTAGGTTACCCCTAGTGGATGAGTGAAGTCTTGTAAGGGTTTCCATAAATGATACACACAAATATTGAGCTCTTTCTCACAAGAGAGACACCAATATACAAAATAAGTATTGAGAGAAAACTACCTCAAGTATACAATTTTTCAACCCTTTCCAAGTAATTTCCCAAAATCTAAACATCAAGCAAGCAAGTATGGTCCTCTACAATTCAAGAAAATGATCATACAAATCAAAACACCTCTAGAATCCTTTTTAACTGAACCGGCATCAAATATGTTACTATCTAAGCCAACCAAAGAAATAATCACGTCCTTACCCTCAAACTAGCACACAAATCTAGTACTGATCATCAAGACAAAGAATGGACCTTTTATTAAAGCTTTATTCATCTAGGTGCACTTATTCTTTTCACTCAATTTTATTTATTTTTTTATTTTTTATTTTTCTAATCCTAAGGATCAAAGATGGAAGCATGGTGCAATGTGTTGATCTACTAAGCTTTCTAGCGATCTATGAGGTCGAGCGTTAAGTCAATGACTCCCAAATCGGACGGCTTTAGGGCATTAGGTGTTTAAACACCCCTAAGGACTTACAAGCTCAAATCAACTAGGTTACAAATCAAAAAAACCTCCATCTAATCATTTCTCATTTCTCATATTTTGGGAGAAGTCCTTACTTTTTTTTATTTGCTTTTGCAACTTTTTTTTTTTTTTTTTTTTCAAGTTATTATTAACCTAGAGTTTGGGCCCTCCACCTTTCGGCATGAGAAATTCAGTGCTTAATGAGGTTAGAATCCCGGCTACTTAATGAAAAGGGTTTGTTATCCACCTTTATCAAAAATGAAAGCTTTCAATGCATTACTAGTTCAATTGGGATATAATCAAATCAATAGTCAACAAAGCATGTACCCCACAAATGAATGCTAGTGTGCGCTTGTGCTAGTGTAGAATTCTATAGTGAATCTCAAAACAATCACAAGATCAAGATGATGTGGACCACAAATGCAAGCAAGATATCAATCTTTCAAAAAAATTTACTCCTAAATGGCATCCACAAGGCATATAAAGAGTATTGGACTCTCAAGTCAAGCAATTTTTAAATTGTAAGTATCATGGTCCTCAAAAGATCAAAATCATAGCCCAAGACTCTCAAATCAGACCACATGCATAGAAAGTAAGTGCGACATGTAAAATATGCAAATACAGCCCCAAACTTAATCTATGCATTGTCCTCAATGTGCAAAGAAGCAACAGATAAAGGAAAGAGTATATCAAATGGGTGAAGCAAAAGGGACCCGGCAACGGAAGCTTAGCATTGGAAGGCGCACCCCCAAACTTAGATTCCGAAAACCTGTCTGAAAATGGTCACACTAACAACTGTCAAAGCGCATGCATCAATGATATAAATGAGAGGGAAAAGACATTTAGCCGGGAAGTGATACAAAGAATGGGATAAAATAAAGAAGAAAGTGCAAGGGGAAAAAATATATATATTTTTTATGATTGATCGAAACTGCCTTGATTGATTGAAATATCTCACGATCGATCGAAAATCTCTAAAATACTGAGTCCTGGGTGCAAGAATTTCTAACGCAAAAATGATCATTTCGATCAATCGAAGTCTCTGTTCGATCGATCGGGATGAAGTTCGATCGATCGAAGTCTCCAGGCTTCGAAACTTTTAAGAACGCATATTTTGGAAAACTCACAACATGCCTGGAAAACTTCAATGAGACAATGAGATATTATTATTGAAATGCTGCAAAAATGAAAGATAAGATAGAAAATGGAGAAATAGAGTTTGGAAACTCTATTGGAACTAGGTTTAACGTCTCTAGTCGACGTGTAAATAGATTCAAATATCAACATAAACTGGATCCACTGAGAGGGCGGACTCCATATGTCTTTGGAACACTTGCCCTTCAATGTAGGGCTTTAACCTTTGTCCATTCACTTTGAATGTAGTTCCATCTTTTAAGCTTTATATTTCAACCGCCCCATGAGGCGCAACAGAAATGATCTCATATGGGCCTTTCCATTTGGTTCACAACTTTCCGGGGAA